CAGAGTTCTCTATACTGCTTTAAGGTATCATTCCTGCAAATGGCAATTTGAGAGTGTAGGCATACAGTATTAATGAAACAGAGTACCTCAGATGACTGCGTAGGTTAGCAGATCTCCTTCTGTCCTTACGGCTGCTGGGGCAAACTCGTTGCACGTTTTCCTATCAAGGGAATTGTTTCTTGCTGTACCTCTACAAAGCTACAGTTACAATTTAAAAGATACTGTAGGTCACCATGAGGATTGGTTATAATGGGTTATAAAACATATTATTCTAGGTAGGGACAACTGGTCCTGCTGAGTACTTCGCCTTGCCAAGACAGTAAGATTAGGCGGGCTGGCAGGTGGGAGTCTGGGAAGCAAAGGAGTTACTCCAGGCTGCAGGGGAAACACCAGACACGGCAGGTCAAGGTCATTCATTGGCGTTCTTCACTCAAGGCAAAGATCTGAGGTGGGCATTGGGATGAACAATGTCATGTCATACTTGACAAGATGGTTGATTTTGAGGACCATATGGGATGTCATCAATGATAGTCCATGAGGATGCTATAAAACAGCAGACAGAGGCTTGAAAGACCAAGGAACTATATTGGTTATTATTGTACAGTTCAGTGAGATTGGCGTTGCTTTTGAACGGGTTCCTCTTAGCTATTTACTTCGTAGGTTTTGACCAAGAAATAGAGGATGAAATGCGAACACCAGAAATAGGAACCTACCCAATGTTCCCGTGAGATTTGTCATCAGACATTCTTCTTTTATAAGAGAGCACCTGGGTTACTCTGTCCAGACAGCATCTGCTTCTTCCACATAGGAGTTTTTATTTTTGGTTCAGTGTTATTAAACACATAAGATGCATAAGTACTTGCTGATTTGAGAGACAAGTCCCTATTAGTCAACCCCTCCTCTTTTTTCCCCAAGTGCTGCAAGGAGTGAGAGAAGTCCTCAGACCGTCCAACACACAGCTCTGCTGCCATCCGTGTCTTTCCCAAGAATCTCCATTGCGCTTTTCATAGCTTCCATGCTGGTACCAACTTTAGAAAAACACTGTTGAATTTCCTCCTGCTGATACTGTTTCGAACTCTTGAGCAACAGCAAAAATGCACTGAGGCTGCTTATCTGCACATCTTACCAATGAAATTGCATTGAATTTATACAGAGGTCAGACTGGATATTTGCAACTACTAGAAGTTATTTACAGTGGAAGTTACGGTTTGTAAGAACAAACATGTTCCTCTTGACATGATGTCTGTTCATCTGAATTACACCTTTTTAAAATACTGCTGAAGGTCCAATTTTCCTACTCTCTAACAGTTTCTGACCCCATTAGCTGTTGGAAGGAGGGTTAAAAATAGATAAAAGTGTGGATATCACTCTCAGATTTGTAATGGAAAGAAAAAAGATGGTTATTGCGCACTTTTATTGCCAGTGATTTCTTGGGATGAGATTTTCCTATCTATATTTCCTGTTGAATTAGCAGAAGAGTTCAAAGTGTGTGCTTACCTTGTGACACGAGCACAATCCTGCAAAAGTGATGCATGTAATATTTAACATTTAAGTAGCTTAAATAGCTGGCTCTTAACACTTCCAGTGCAGCAAAATTGGGAATGTGGTTGCATGTAATTAAAAATGCATGCATGCCATTTTTAATTTCTGGCTAGGAGTCCCTGCAGGAGATTTGCCTTGTCTGCCAGATTGGAAGCTGTTTCCTGAGTTGGATAAAGTCATGAAACTCCAAGGAGGAGATGGACACCAGTGATCACATGCGTAAGCTACTGTATATATTTAAGGAAGCGGTTTAGACAAGTGGTCTCCTGCTCCTCCAATAGAACAAAGCTGCCATTACATGAGCAGTGCTAACCAGATTATATACTTAATGAAACATCAAGGCGTTTAATTCAGAAGTAATTCTTGAGGGAGCAAACCAGGGATACTGAATTTTAGAGGACATAGTCTATGCTACACTAAGTCTACATTTCATGAATGGCAGTAAAAGGCAATTAACAAGAAGCTGTTAATCTTTGCAAGAAATTTAGTGGAAAATAGTGCATCCCTTTGCTGACTCTGCTGTCTCCTGTATCAGCTCCGTGTTGTGTATGTGTTGCATGTGCAGAGGCAGGTGTGAGCAAAAGGGGGGCAGGATGGAGATAATAGCCTCTGCTAATCCCCCACTGGCATAATGTCCATTAGGAGTCAGTGATGTAAATTGGAGTCGAAACCCTGCTGTCTCTCTTCCCTCAAGGTCACAGAACTAGCTCCACGTGTCCACCAGTCTTTATCCAAGCACAACTTGTTAATCACGGAGACATGTAACCTGAATGTAAATCTGATCTTTTGCTGTATTGTAGGCTGGTATGGTACATCAGTAAGATCGCAGCTCATTCCCTCACTCCCCTTTCAGATGCCGGTAGGAGTATTGGCAAACCTGAGATGCAGGTACCCGGGCACGGCTTCAAAGGGTTTCTGCTTCCTGGCATTACAGAAGAGAGATGTATGTTCCTCTATAACTTGAGGTTGTCATAATTATGCTCAAAGTAGACATATGAAGTAGACCGTACAAATACTTCCTGCCTTCTTCCTTCTTTACTTTCTCCTAATCCACTCACCAGCCCCCGGAAAGTTCAAGTATTCTAAGCTCAGTTAGTTTCAAATATTTTCTCTCTGATTTGGGCTTTTCTTTCTGGAGAACCTCTGGCAAGTGTAGCCTCAGGAAGGTACTTTCATTTAAGCTGTCTGTTACTGAGCTGACCCTCTGGCATGTTAGTCACAGGAAGATGACGGCCACCCTTCTTGCAGCGTCCTCCAACAGCCTTCTGCTGCCCTGAGCCTTGTTGCTAGTTGCCCTCCGTGTCCCTGCGGGGTGCTGGGTCCCTGAGCTGTACCGAGCCATGCTGGTGTGGGGGCTGCACAAAGACAGCAAGTTTGGGAGTCTAGTCTAACGTGTGGTGCTACAGATGGGTTGAGCAAGCCAGTGGCAAGGGGTAGTGTTGCAGGCAGCCACATCCAAAGGACTCTTCCTCATTGCACCTGTGAACTGCCCTCAGCCAGTTGGCAGATGATGCCAAACTGGGAGGAGTGGCTGGTACACCGGGTGGGTGTGCTGCCGTTCAGAGTGACCTAGGCAGGCTGGAGAAATGGGATGAGAGGAATCTCTTGAAGTTCATCAAAGGGAAATGCTAAATCAGTCCTGCACTGGGGGAGGAATAACAGATGCAGTGGCGCAGGCTGGGTCCTGACTGGCTGGAAAGTGCTTTGCATTGAAGTACGTGGGGGTTTTGGTGGGCAGCAAGTTGAACGTGAGCCAGCAGTGTGTCCTTGAGGCAAGAAGGGTCAACGGCATCTTGGTCTGCATTAGGAAGATGATCACTGGCATGTTAAGGGAGGTGATCCTTCCCCTCTGCTCAGCTCTGGTGAGACACATCTGCAGTGTTGGGTCCAGCTCTGGGCTCCCCAGTGCAAGGGGGACATGGACATACTGGAGCAAGTCCAGCAAAGGGCCACAAAGGTGATGAAGGGACTGGAGCATCAGTTCTACAAGGACAGACTGAGAGAGCTGGGACTGTTCAGCCTGGAGCAGAGAAGGCTCAAGGGGGGGATGTCTTATCAATGTGTATGAACACCTGATCCCTCATCAGGTAGAAGAAAGAGCCAGACTCTTCTCAGTGGCGCCTAGTGACAGGACAAGAGGCAGTGAGCACAAGTAGAAAGACAGGGCATTCCTTCTGAAGACAACAAAATAATCTTTTCTTTTCAGTATGAGGGTGACCAAGCACTTTTACAGATTATTCAGGGAGGCTGTGGATTCTCCATCCTTGGAGATACTCAAAAGCCATCTGGATGTGGTCCTGGGCCACTGGCTGTATGTAGGTGGCCCTGCTTGAGCAGGGAGATTGCACCAGATGACCTCCAGAGGTGCCTTCCAACATCAACCATTCTGGGATTCTTTGAAATATTTGCTACGCTTTAATAATGTTATGTGGTTACACAAATAGCTGCACTTTCCTCTCACCCCTCAAAATGAATCTGAGATCTCTGTGATGCATCTTTACAGAGAGGTATTTCAGAAGGAAAAGTTATGTACCATAACTCCACTAATTATGAGTCATGGGAACACGTATTTTGAAAGGTTTGTATTTTACCCTGCTTCAAAGTTCTCTTTAGTTTAGAATTACTTTTTGGTTGCCATCAGAATTGTTTTGGTTTTTCGCTCAAATTGGAAATATGTTTATGTTATCAAAACAAATGTCATTGTGGGAAAAGAAGGAAGCATTGCCAATGTTTTTCATAGCAGTAATATTTTATTTCACTTGTTGGGTGTCTGGTAAACCACTTCAGAAGAGAAAATGTCATTCTAACACATACACGTACACACACACATATTTGAAGGCCCACGTATCTTGCCCTAAATTTAGGCTATATTAAATACTCCTGCAAAACACGCCCAGGTAAGGTATGATCGATACAGCTTGGGCTATCTGCTGCTGGTACTAATCTAACCACACCTGCAGAGCTGTTTTGAAAGAAAACGATCTCTCGGTAAATATTTCTTATGACCAGGTCCCTGAGTCACCTGCAGCCTGGGATCTCATCTTCAGTATACATCGGGGGGGTTGTGGAACAGAATAGAGGAATATACTGTATGTCTCGCAGTTATTTTTTTTATGCCCATCCTTTGTGAATAAAACCTGTGTGGTAAAAATGTGTTGTGAAAACCTTTGAGGTAAAAATAAAGATAATTACTTTTTCTGAGGTAGTATTTCACTCAGGAGAGAGCAGTCGTGTTCCAGCTTCTCCCTCTTGACCAGCAGATGCTGAAACAGTGTGAAAAGTAGAAGATATTATAGACTATGTTTAAATAATTCTGTAATGTTGTTACTATGAGCTTTTTATTCAGGAAATTCAGTGAGTTCAGGTAGACGAGTGGATTTTAATATAATATTTTTATATCAAATGTATCCAATCATTTTATATCGCGTTTACATGCCACATCGTCTTTTTCTTTACAGGGTATATACCCAGTTACTTAGACAAGGATGAGCTATGTGTAGTATGTGGGGACAAAGCCACCGGATATCATTATCGCTGCATCACTTGCGAAGGTTGCAAGGTAAATGGCACAGTGGGAAAGTGGGAATCAGAAATAGCTCTCCAGCTCCTCCATTATACAGACTTCCTCAACTGTGCTGTCAAATAAAACAAAGACAGATTAGAAGCGAATAAGAACATCCAGTACTGATGATAAGCCATAGCTGGCTGTGCCACTGCTCTCCATATGCATAAGGAATATAGTTGATTTTTGCAGTGTTTGCTTCTGAAAAGAAAACAAGAAATTTAGATTTTTGTTGTTGCTGTTTGACTGTTAGCTTTTACATTTCCATTTTTTAATGTTTCTTTGGTCGCATTCTCAGCCAGCATACATCAGCATAGTCCCAGGAACTCCAGTGAAGCTGTTTATGCAATAGCTGAGGTTCTGCCCATGGCCATGAAGAGTCTGTAGCGATTAACAGTGTTCCAGTGCCTCTCATCGTCACTGCGAAGAAGCAAAAATCAAAATCCCTTCCACATGCTCATACAACAGTAACATCCATCACTTTGGGAAGCACTGACACCCAGTTAAAACAGTTTCAAAAAAATTGTGACTGCTTTAACTTAAGCATATTGAAATGTGCTTTCAGCCCTAAGTTGCATCTCCGAAGCTACATGCAAAATTAAAAAGGAGATTGCTTTCGGCAAATAAATAAATAAAAAAAAAAAGAGTAACACAATCAGGCACATGTTACATGATTTCAGTGCCATAAATTTGCCTGAATAGCTTGAGATCCTGTAAGAAAGCTATTCTTTCCTGCAGAAAATGAAAAATGATTATGTTTTTCTAAACAAATGGGACCACACATGTCATGGACTACTGTCATGGGACTAAGCCACAAAAGCCATATTCTGTTCATCCCCAAAGTCTCAAATGTTTGGATCTGAGATCTTGGGTTTGCATTAGCTTTAGAGCTCCACATCACAGTAACTTGTGTTGAAGTAGCTCCTTCAGTTGTACCTCATTGCCCTAAGTTACATTTATGAAATGCACAAACGCCTAAATAGCCTATGTATAGCAGGTTTGTGGAAATATTCATAATGGTTTTATACACATACATACATAATATGTATGAAAAAATATTTATATCCGAAAAAAATGGAACTGAACAAGTGATTCGTACACATTTGCATCCCATATACCAGATGATAACAATACATAAAATGTATGAATATGACTTAACTCAGATATAATGAGAAGTAAGCGGCACTGTAGCATTATGAAATATCTTTTGCTCCCAGCTTAACAGCTGTATCTCTCACCAGCTTTGCTACTAAGATTTTTGTTACTCCAAGTAACGTGAAGTGTTTCTTTTTATGCCTACCAGCTATTTTAAAGGTACAGCATACAAAATCTACTTTTATCTTCAGATACAGTTCTTTTGTCTGATGTATAATTTAAAATAATGCTTGTGTGCACAAGGAACTGAGCTAACAATTTGCAAAAAGTAATTAATGTCGTTCCCTACTTATAGTTGGGTTACAACAGACAGTTTCATTTTGTTTTGTTTTATTGTTCTTCTTGCAAATGTATTCACTGTAAAAGATGGGGGCGTTGTGGGGACAGTTTCAACCCCTGCCTTAGAGGATCTGCATACACATTTCCAGTTGTATGATTTATCAGCAAAGTTATATGTAATCAATTCTCAATGAATTTGACATTTACTAGCTGCTTCCACTCAAAATCACTTTAATTTTGTAACAACATTAATCAGGGCTGACAGCCAAAAATTTGCTTTGGCAAGTGCTTTCATGAACAAAGCATCCTCACACATGATTTCTAAAGATTAAATTGTAAGGAATTTAAACACGAGTAAACCGAAAGTGAGTTCTGACATCACTGGAATGTCTCTCCAGACTGTAGCCATTGCATCTATTGCTATATAGGTGCATGGTAAAGGAATTTAGGAAGAGTAGTTGCCTTACAATAAAATATACTTTCTTCTATTGATGAAAATAACACTTCTGTGATGAAGTGTTTGGACAAATATAGAAAGCAGCTTCGTTATCACATTGTATCTAGACACGATCAAAGAGGTTTTTTGCAAGAAGTTTCTGAGAGATGCAAAAGAATAGGAAGATGAAATGTGCCGGTCCCATCACGGGTGGCAAAGAGCCTTGCCGCTGTAAAGCTAGAGCTACATTAGGTCCCATGCAAGGTTTGGAAAACGGAAGTTCGGTACCTCTTCCTGACATTCATCAGAGATTTTTCCATCTCTTGCTGTAACTAGAGACTACCCCGTGTCCCTGGTTGTCCAGAGCCATCTGTGATCTTCAGGGAGGAGAGGGGCAGGTCCTGTCTCTAGGAATTTGTCACAGGGTTGAGAGTGGATCCAAATCCAGTTGTTGGGTAGATGAGAGTTTGAGACCTGATCCAAACCCCATGTAAGGACATCTTGCCTGTGATTCCCTGGGTTTTGGCTCAACCCAACAGGTTCCAGTCTTGCAAAGGCTCACACTCATGCTTTATTCAACTCAGGTGAATTGAGATTTCAGGTCTTATCGTTATCAAGGAAGAAAGAGTTGTACTCTTAGCTCGAGCTGGATCTTGTAAGATAAAACTCTAATGAGAACAAGGCTGTTTATTGTCTTCACTGAAGTCAGGAGCTCAAGCTGAAATACAGACTTACCAGTACTTCTTAATTCAACATTCTGTGTTAAAAGAAATTACACATTGCTGTAAGATTTTACCTTGTGTTATTTAACATTGATTAAAACCAGACCTTTTGCCTAGTGAAGTGAAGAGACTATTCCTTAGATAAAATCCCAGCTGAAGAGAGTATTTATTAGTTAAAATCTCACTTGAATTTTGCCATTGTTTTCACTGAAGCCAAAGCCTTCAGCTTTGAAGAGAGTATTTATTAGTTAAAATCTCACTTGAATTTTGCCATTGTTTTCACTGAAGCCAAAGCCTTTCTCAGTGGCTTCAGTCAAATAGGACCAGGGTCCCAGTGAGTTCTCTATGTCAAGGTGGTCCCAAGCTGCATTGCTGACTGTAGACATTCTCAAACAATGGTGAAACTTGAAATTAAAGTGAAGTCTAAATTTCTTGCTTTACAGCCTATCTTGTCCATATCTTGCGGTCTTGGGAAGTTTATCCAGCTCTTGCGTAAGTCAATGAGAAAAGTGATGTTGAAATTAGTACCAGGATTAGGTCGGTAATGTTCAGAGATAAATTGTATCTGATTTTTTTACCTAAGGCCAGAGTCTATGGGTTGTATAAATCAGTGAATTCAGTGGAGCTACATTGGTTCGCATGAACTTAGGATCTGACCTCATATCCATGTTGCAGTGGGCAACATAGATCTGCATTATGATCAAATTATAGAATCAAACTCAAAGATCGTGCAAGTTGTGTTTGCAAAATTCTTAGTCTTGCCCAGATTTGGTTGGTTGGTTGGTTATTTGGCTTTGATGGAAAGGAATAGAACCGTTTGTTCTTAATCCTTTAGTAGCTCATACGCACCACCATTACTACTATTTGCAGAAGCTGCCCTTTAATTAAAAGTATGTAGATGCCTCTTAATATCCCTTGAAATGATTATGTAATTTAGAAAGGGGCTTAAAATAAACTCACTAGTTCAAATACCAAAAAAATTTAACACACAAACATAAGACTTCAAGAAGACGTGTAGACAGTATTCGTCCCTCAAGACAGCATGACTTAAGCCTTTGCTTACCTAAGATGTCTATGTTTTCAGTTTTTAGGGAGGAAATGTTTTGTGAAACTCAGAAAAGAAGCATCATACACTATAAAACCAGTTTGTTCTTTTCCTCTTTGAGAGTTTCATGGCATGAAGTATGTTATCTTGCATACTTAGGTACATTCTTACCAAACCAAAGTGGCTCCCAATTAGAAAAAATTGCACAATGCTAATGTTTTCCAATGTGTTTATTTATTGCACTTAGGGTTTTTTTAGAAGAACCATTCAGAAAAACCTCCATCCAACCTATTCCTGTAAATATGAAGGAAAATGTGTGATAGACAAAGTAACAAGAAATCAGTGCCAGGAATGTCGCTTCAAAAAATGTATCTTTGTTGGCATGGCAACAGATTGTAAGTATACTTTTCTGTTTTTCTTTCTTTTCTCTCTCTCTTTTTTTTTTTTTTAAATGTGTGTGTTTGCTTCAAGTATGTTGATTGGTGAAGATTGTTAAAGTAGAGCAGAATTGCCAGCTCTCTTTTGTTTTTAATAACTTACACTGGGAAAATATGCTCATTGCATCAAACCACTTTCGTAGGGCTGTAATTTTTTGTTTATCCTTCGCCAGACTGCACCTTCTCCTGGCTTTACCAAGCTGCGTAACAGTAGGAATGTTCACTCTTTGGAGGAGAGGAGGGAGAAATGCATCTGGATGGACACTTTGCTTTAGAAAAAACCATCTTGTTTAGAAAATTCTGGAGGATGTGAAATTGAATGTCGTTGCATGAGTCATCCTGCAGTTGTTTGTTTTATTTTTAGCCCTGAAGAAGTTATCTACTGCAAAGAATTCGACTCTCATTCTAAAGAACTAGAACATATGGCTGTAAGATTAACCCTTAGGGGTCTTCTTTTCCTGCCGTTGCACAGGGATTTACACCGATAACATCAATTAGTGGAAATGGGAGGAAGTCACGTAAATCCCCCTGTGTCTTAATGTTAATGGTTGTTGCCAGCATAATCCTCTGCAGAAAAACTGACAGAAAAGCAGGCCCAATAAACAACAGAAAAATAGTCTAACTTGGTATTTTTCATTGGTAATGTAATGTGTAACAACGTCTTCTGTCTAGAGGGAAATAGAAGAAATGACAGAATTTCATTTTAGCCGGGTAGACCTTCAGGTTGACCCCAGCCCATGACCCGCAGGTGGCAATACCATGAAGCTGATGTGGCCTTTTGTGAGCTGCACCTACGGACGCGCCAAAGGGGCTGTCGCAGAGCACGACGGACAGGACAGCTATCCCCTGGCTGGAGAAGGCTTTCTCCCACCTTTGAGTTACGTTACAATGTGTGAATGCAAGCGTGCAAGCAGGGCTTTCTGTGCTCCTACCTGCCTGCCGCCAGTTGTGGATCAGGATGGTCCTCCTCCGCTAAAGCGGGCCAGTCTGTTTTAAATGGCCTGTTCACGTTTGTATGGAAAACGGGATAAAACCTTCAGTGTTGGTCGGAGAGGTGATGCCCTGTGTGTCTGGCATCCCTGGAACTAGCGGGGCTCGAGTGGAATGCTACCAAACGGCACCATTTGTAGGGCTTACAGAACAAGCTGAAGGCAGATTGTTTCTGAGAGTGTCATGCAACAGGTAGTTGAGCCTCCTGTGAATAAGCACTCCCCCTTTCTTAAATCCACGTTACCTTCTGCTGGCTTACAAGAACACGTTCTACACAATTCAGAGCACTGAGCATGCTCATACTGCTTTAAAGAAAACCAAACTGCATCTTTCCTAACATGGACTACTCCAAGTCCATTAGAGGAGTGCTTTGTCTGAGTCCTCACAAAGCTTTTATGTTTTATGTTTTATTGGTGGAATAAAACACTGAACGCAACAGTAGTATCCATCTCGTTACCAGAAGGGTAAGTCATTCTTTGCAATCCAGGCTTCTGAGAAAATAAAGTTTGGAGAGAGAAATAAGAGAACTTTGTGAACTGTGGGTCTTACCAAAGTACTTCTTTACTGATTTGTTCAGGTGTTTGTAATTAATTAGTACCTCAGCCATAGGAAATACCAAAGTTCAGTCAACCTTAAAGAACTTCCGGCCATTTTTGTCTGCTTTTTCCCCTGCTAGTGGTGTTGGATGACAGCAAGCGGTTGGCAAAGAGGAAGCTGATAGAAGAAAATCGAGAGAAGAGACGTCGGGAGGAGCTGCAGAAAACAATTGGGCACAAACCAGAGCCAACGGATGAGGAATGGGAGCTCATCAAAATCGTTACTGAAGCACATGTGGCCACCAATGCACAAGGAAGCCACTGGAAGCAGAAAAGGAAATTTCTGGTAAGAGACTGTAGCCTTTTACACTGCTATTGGAGCCAGGTTCCTTTCTTTCTTCTGAAGTCCCTTCCCAACATTGCAACACCAAAGAGGATCTATCTGCCAGTGTATTGACATACATGAAAAATGGATGATTTTTATAATTACTACTTGCTTATTCTTGCCTGAAGCTCAGTGTTTGATCAGACGATGTATTTCAAAAGATAAACAGCATGTTGCTGAGTTAAGGCTTACCCAGCTGGATGCTTTTAATGTGCTAGGATTAGAAAAAACAGAAAAATCATTTCACTCCTGATTAACAGTGCTAGCAGTCTATAATGCATAGCATATCTTTTTTTACATGTTATATCTAAGGATAGTTGACTATTAGGTACTAGCATACAACATATTGTAAGTGTTAAAACAATGTAAAGTTTTAGGTGAAAGCTGATATTTTTGAGTAATAACTCATATTTTTTGCTTCCTTGTTCGAAAGTGAACACATTAATTAAAATAAGTTTGGCAAAGAAAAATGAATTTCAGTGAAAGCAGGGTGATACATACACTATAGCATTGGGATTGCAGACTGCAAGACAACTTAAGTTTTCAGCCTATAACCAAGGATCGGAAAATAAACGGTGATTTATGATGCTCAGCCTTAGAAAATGATTTATTTGATTTTTCTAAATCGATTTTTAGAGGAAATAAGTGCAGAATACAAAATGCTTATACAGCACAAAAGAGGGATTATAGACTGCGTGTCAGGAATACACAGGGGTCTATAACACTCTGTGTATACCACATCAGATAGAGAATGTTCATTTTTTTGCAAGCCTAAGCTCCTGCTGCCTAATTCACTGTGGGAATCTTGACCCACTGTTAAATTGCTAGAAGAAATTATATATTCAAACCAGCCGATCCCTTTTATAGAGTTTCGTTAATTCCAGCGGCGATGTCTAATTTTCTATATGAATGGCTGCATGTTCGTAGTAGCACGCAGCCGGGAAACCACAGCCAGCGATCACTGGCAAGAAGCAGCAGAGCCCTTTCCAGTGGTGCTGCACAGCAAGGTTTGCGGCACTGGTTTTAGCAGACCAAGAAGCAGCTGCAGTAGTGCATTTGGTTACTTAGGCAGGAGCGCTTTTCTTGCAGTATCTCCTGGTTTGGGATAAAGCATGGGGAGCTTGAGGTTAGAGCTGGGAGTGAGGACACAGACAGAAAGCTGGTAGGGTCTGGACCATGTAAAATGTGGTCGTTGGGGCTCTGGAGACTGTCACAGCAGAGGGGGAGCCTCCAGCAAAAGATGACAGGGCTACTAGAAGAGGGGAGGGATGGGGCAGAGGCAGGGGTGGCAGCTGTAATGGACGGTTCAGAAACCATCTGTGACTTCCACAGCTGGTTCCTAGGCCAGACCAAACTGCTCTTGATGCAGCCCTTGATGCAGGACCTCCTGGTTCTTTGCAGTACTCACATGCTGAAGCCCAGTGGTTTCAAGGAATGCGTAGGGAGCTCATTGACACCTTGCAGTGAGCACAGAAGGGAAAGTCCAGGATAGCCTGCCAACCTCAGGTGGAGGGCTTTGAAAGTCCCTGCCAGAAGCTGTTGAGAAGCAAGAGGAGCTGACTGCGCACCCCAGGAGCTGTGAGTCACAGAATCACAGAATTTTCAGAGTTGGAAGGGACCTCTAGAGATCATCTAGTCCAACTCCCCTGCTAAAGCAGGGTTGCCCAGAGCACATGACTCAGGACTGCATCCAGGCGGGTCTTGAAAATCTCCAGAGAAGGGGACTCCACAACCTCCCTGGGCAGCCTGTGCCAGTGCTCTGGCACCCGAACTGTAAAGAAGTTTTTCCGTGTATTTGAGCGGAACTTCCTATGTTCCAGCTTGTGCCCATTGCCCCTCGTCCTGTCACTGGGAACCACCGAGAAGAGTCTGGCTCCATCCTCCTTCAACCCACCCTTTAGATATTTGTAAGCAGTAATAAGGTCTCCCCTCAGCCTTCTCTTCTCCAGGCTAAAGAGTCCCAGCTCTCTCAGCCTTTCCTCATAAGGGAGATGCTCCAATCCCTCAATCATCTTGGTTGCCCTTCGCTGGACTCTCTCCAGCAGTTCCCTGTTCCTCTTGAACTGGGGAGCCCAAAATTGGACACAGTATTCCAGTTGTGGCCTCACCAGTGCCATGTAGAGGGGTAGAATGACCTCCCTCGACCTACTGGTCAAGTAGGTCCTTAGGCAGCTGATGCTGGTTCTTCAACAGCAGGAGCTCCTTTGAGGTCTGGACCTGTTTTCCTATTGAGGTGAGTTAGGTGGCAAGGGCTCTCCAGTTGCATGCCCTTCTGGAGTTTGTTAGCTTTAGCTAGCGATCCTGACTTCTTTTGACTTTCCCAAGAAAATACTGCCGTCTTTCTTTTTCTCCCTAACAACGTTATGCATGGTTTTAAGCATTTGGTCTTCTTGCTTGGAAGTAATGAAGGTTGTTTATCATGAGCACACAGACAATGTGGTTTAGTTTCCCAAGGTTCAGGGAGGGAGGGAGCCTAGAACTGAGATTATTTGAGTTTTTTAGTAGGAAGCGTCAGATAATTGAGCCCATGCCTCTTCATTGTTCCTTTACAATTGGTGCTTGCTTTGTTAACGCATTGCTGAGTTTGTTCGTGAAAGAAGTTAGATTTGGATTCAGATTGGTGACAGAGCTGTGGAAGGATCTTTTATGATGTGTTGCTCTAAAAAACAGGCTAGCACAAGTTGTTACTACAGACAGCACTTCAGCACCTCCCCTGTTTAAGTGCCCTTACATAAATGTCATTAAGACCATCATTCTTAAAGGCCGCCTTCTCTGGGTTTTATCCAATTTTTGACTCTCGAACGTGAACAAAATGGTATCTCTGCATGGTGGTTGGCATGTCTTTTGCATCTGCAAAGCTACACTTAGCAAACAGAACAGCTTTGATAAGCCAGTTTTTAAAATACACGGTAACATTGATGAGCTGTCATAAAAGCAGGTGAACGAATTGAAGTGCAGTTGGAATGAAAAAACACTCATTGCAGATTCTGCTTGGATCTATTTCATTGTATATCCCTATTGAAATCCTCAAAATACTGTTTTTTTTCTCTTTCGGAGAAGCCTTGGGCTGAAGTCACGTGGAAGGTGATTTTCAACCAAAATTTTACCCAGATGAGTTCAAATTCTAGTCATTTTATCCAGACTAGCTTTGGGTTACCCCGTTCTTAGTCACCAGTTGTTATAGCCTGGTTTTGGAAACAGGCAGTTGTCTGGAGCTCTGTGATACCTCCTCTCGGGAGGATTTCAGAACATTGAGTAGGTGAAAGAACCCAATTCTGCAATGCTCTGAGCATCTTCTCGGGGGCAACAAGTCACCTCAGCTCCCTTCACTTTTAGAGAAACTTGAGAGTTCTCAGCACCTACAAGAAAAAATAACATGCCTATAGTTTTAAGCAAAAAATGCATAAGCTACACCCACAAAATATTCAGATACAGGCACAAGGAAATTAATGTGCACAAAAATGCAGCTGCCTGCACAGGACGGGTAGCAGCATGCCGGTCACCCGTTTGTCTGTGCAGTCACCTCTTTCACAAATGCCTTACAAGCAAATTCACATTTTGTGATGTAATGAACATTACTTATAAAGTGAATAGTGTTATTTTTTATTTAGCATGTCTTCCATTGCTAAGCAGGACTTTTAGAGTATAAAATACTTGCTCTAAGATAGACTGTTCCTTTAAATATCTTTCTTTATACCCTTAGCCAGAAGACATTGGACAGGCACCAATAGTTAACGCCCCAGAAGGTGGGAAAGTGGATTTAGAAGCCTTCAGCCAGTTTACAAAAATTATCACACCAGCGATTACAAGAGTGGTGGATTTTGCCAAAAAGTTGCCTATGTTTTGTGAGGTAAGAAAACTTCCTTGCACTCCTCATTTATATGCCTGCTGTGAAAAACTATTCAAAATACTCCTGGCATGGAACTAAATTTCACTATGTTTAAAATCAGAAAAATTAAAGAGACTCAAAATAGATGTAACTAGAATTATCTGGATTTTCATGAGTTTTCTTTTTTCTGCGATTACTGAAATCCTGATTTTGTTCATCTAGAAGTCATCGTTCATTAGGGACTCGAATGTCTTTTAGAGGCCTTGAGCAAAGCGAATAAGCAAAAAGAGACTGTCTAGAAGCATCTTTGATAACGTTTAATCAGACCTTCCGGCACACAGTTCCCTCTGTGCTTTCTGGCTCCCTGGCAGGTACAGTATTGTGGAGTTGGGTCTATGCAGTAAGAAATTCTTCCAATTCAGGAAAGCATCCCTATCCAGGAATGGCACTTGCCTCATTGTGTTCCCTTGGCATGTTTTTCCTAAACAGGGAGGTTGTGCATAAATGAGTCTGTAAAAGCAATGGACTGTCATTCCAGGTAGATAGTCATGTGTAAAATATACAGTAAATAGACTCAAATAAACTTGGTTGCACATAAGGAATACAGGAGCCCTAGGCTGATCTCATTTACACTGAGGTATCATTTTTATTGAAGGACCAGATGCAATAGCTGATGATATTTTTTTCCTAACTTAAAAAATGTTATCAGAACCGCAGCCTGAAATAATATTTCAGGCTTAATAATTTTACGAATTTTAAGTCTTGTGAGTCTCTTAGGATCATCAACCAGGGTTTTTTTGGTATGGAAATAGCCCAAATCCAGCCACGGAAGGACACCTGCCTGCTTGCCCACTCTGCAGAGCAACACTTGACTCTGCTGGGGAAATGCCAAGCGAATGACATTCAAAATGGGAGTGACCATTGTCAGTGAGTTCATCGGACTCCCTAACTCAGGAACAGTGTTTCCTCCTAATAACTAAACATCACTCAGGAAGGAAGTTTAAGGCAGCCATAACAGTTTACTCTTCTGTGGCTGGCAGCTTTTCTTTAAAGTCAGTCAAGGAGAGCTATTTATGTCCTCTGGCACCTACAGAACAACAGGTAAATAGCAATAGTTGGCATAGTATAAATAGCTCTCCCTGGCTAACCTCAGCATTGGCTCCATCAGCCAAGAAAGCATGAAATAGTGGCTAAGCATGAAGATTATAAAATACAGGGAATGTGTCCATAGATCAAGAGAGCCCTGCAGCATTGAGTGTCTGAGAGAATCTGTCTCCTCTGATTTGGCATTTTTTGGTGGGAAGTTGCAGTGACATACCAAGGTAGTCCTCTCAATTTAGAAAGCTTTACCAGTCACACGCAGACTGTGGCGCCCATCTGACATCTCCTACCCCTCCTGGCTACCGTGAGCCCACTTGCGTCAGAGCCTGGCAGAAAGCATGGATGAAGAAGTCAAGGCGTCGTTGGCATTGTAGGTTGTGCAGCTCAGCTAGGACAGGCTTTATTTACAGCTGAGCCACTGCGTAAACCTGATACAGCAAGGTCTGATGGCAGAGCGAGGGACAACTCGTCGTGAACGCGAAGGAATAGGACAGCTGTCCTCCGAGCTGTCATATAGCTCCTGCTGTAGCATGAAGGAAATGACAAATGTTTGCTCCTTTTTGTCGGGGCGCTGTCCTGTTAACTTTATTTCATTTATGTTTTTTAACCCATATCTTTTTCTTAGAAGCAACACTGTGTGGACTGTGAATTTTTTTTATGGGAAAACGCCCTCCTTTCTCCCATATGACCTGCAGAGGATTTAAACATCATCCTGGTTCTTAATTTCCACGGATGCTCAGGCTGAGAGTGTAGTAAATCTCTATGAAAGAGGGGCAGGGCCTCTTACATACCCACAGCCCCTTTTTCTTCTTTCTCTCTTTGGACACATGCACGAGCCCCCAAGGTAGTTTGAGTGCCCAGCTTAGTTCACATGCATCCGTTGGCCCGTGCCTCAAAGCAAGAATCTAGTCCCAGAGTAATTGAAGTATAAGAAAAATTCATTTCCTTCTCAGCATTTCTGCTGTTGTTTCCTTTGTGCATTTCCTTCTGCTTAGAAAATGAAGATTGAGGAGCACTTAATCAGTCTGATGTGAGTTTAGGTGTCACAGGCATCAGTTTAGGTGTCACAGGCATCAGTGTTTCTTGGGTAAGGCTGTGTAAATACCCTTCTAGGGAGCACAGCTAAGCTCGGCTCAGCTGCATGGTGCTGTGTTACATATGTGGTGGCTGCCAGTATCTCCTGCCAAGGTGAGCACCTCAGGTTCCTGCCTTTTGCTTTTTCTCCGAGCAGAGCAAGAAGGAAAGGACAAGATGTGGCAGATAATCAGTCATATTTGTTGTCCCCACTTCTGGAAGGTGCTCTGGCAGCAACACTTAAGTGATGAATATAGTATTGAAACCTGCATAGTCAGGAACGGAACTGACGTTCAAGGCCCCTGTCTTTGGTAACTGGTGCTACTGGCAGATAAGACCTGAGGCTCAGCATCCATGAAAGAGGTGTCCTGTGTGTCCTTCAGAATTCGGAAAGCAGGTGAAGGACAGGCGTGGTCAAATCACCACTACCATAAAGAAATTTTAAGGAGGTTCAAGTAGGAAGAGAAATTCTCATTGGTTTAATGGCTCGCTAATAAAACAGCTGAAGTGTCATGACATATCTTCCCTACTGTCTGTTTCATCATTCTTCCTTCTCCTTTGTCTTTTTTTCTTCATTTCTCCTCTTTTCCCTTCTTCCTTCCTTTCTATCCCTTTTTTCTCTGCAGTTACCTATTCCAATATCTCTTCATGGTTGCTGTCACATGTCTTTATTTATTTATTTATTTTACTTGTATTTCTTACTCTGTTTCTTTCCCTACTTCAGTCTCAGCAGCCAAACAGTGGCATTTTCATTGGGTAGCGAGACTACCACTGTGCCTGCGCAGCCTTCCCCACGCTGCTGCTGAGCTGAGTGTGATCCGCAGAGAAAGTGATTTGCCCTGAACAGGATGAGTCATTTTTCTTGTGTATCAAACACTTTACACCTGAAGTTGGCACTGCTGGAAAAACAGCTGCGTGATTCAAATCCTTGTTCTGACTGGGGCTGGCTCTGTGCTTAAAACTCTTCTCTTACAGGCAACTGTTTTCCACTTGCGTTAGGCAACTGGCATCCACTCTACATCATTTTACACCAAATCAATATACTTGCTTTGCAAGTACACAGTTGCCATGTAAACGTGTAGTTGGTGGGTTGTTTTTTTTCATTTTGAATTGCAAATCAGGTAAATATAATAAATTTTTGTGAATCAGAAATGGGTGGATTATTGCCTTCTTTCAATCCAAGTAGAAATTAGTTGCTTTTTCATATATGTGACCCTTTGCTGTTCATTTAGTGACAGTCTCAAAATAGTCTTTGTGGGTTTTGCTATCATTGAATTACCTATGAAAACATAAAGACATGCTTCACAGAACACATTCTCTTAATGTGTCAACATCCTGGTGACACTTTATAAATACGGAACCTACCTTCACCAATTCGGACAGCTTACCTTTTTTAATGTTGTGGAAAAGACAAGTCTAGCCACATGCCCCGAAGATCACAGCTTATGCACCAGCATAAAAGCTGGAGCTGTACCATAGGTTTCCTCTCTGTCCAGCAATAATCAAGGGAGTGTGGGGAAATCAGCCTTACCAGGCTAAATATAGCTTTATAAGTTCTCTGTTGTTTAAATGAGCAGTGAGAATTCAGAGCACGTGCCTCACTGATTGAGGATATCTCTCCTAGCTACAAAAATTTACTTCATTCCTTTTATTTAAAAGGACCCTCTCAAATGTCTTTCTTTTCCTCTGGTCAGGCAAGAAATAAGCATGGCTGGCAGTGAGTTTAACTGGGATGGCTGAGGTCTGTACCAGCCCCAATTATAGTCTATTCTGTTATGCTAAATTGTAAGCTGAGGGAGCTCAGGAGTAGAGGAGAGAAGGGTAAACATCTGAGAACAGTGACCACTTCAGCCATCTCAGTTAGATCCACCCCTGATGGGAGACAAAGCGAATAGTATATGTTACTACCAGCCTGGCGCCTGACAGGTCTTCTTCATCCTTCACACTTCGTGAAGTGTTCTGCAAAATGGAAAGCTACCTTCTTAAGGTTTATTGGGCTTAATTTTATAGTGCTCCCACAAACTGAGCAGTCCCATGGAGAGCAGCACTTCTGCAAGTTGGGTCGCTTCACCTCAGCATCTGAACCAGCTTGGTTTTCTTTGAGTATCTTGCCCAGGACCACTTGCGTACTGCTGTGTCATCACTAGATTTCCTAAGGATGTGTGAGGAAGTTAACCTGCCGGCAGCTTCTGGAAGCAGTTATGGGA